GCTCAGTAGTTGTGGCTCGCGGGCTCTAGAGCGCAGGCTCAGTAGTTGTGGCGCATGGGCTTAGTTGCTCCGCGGCATGTGGGATCTTCCTGGACCAGGGAGCGAACCCGAGTCCCCCGCATCGGCAGGCGGATTCTTAACCACTGTGCCACCAGGGAAGCCCAAGATCATTGTACTGTTGATAAGCTGAATTTACAACCACACGGTTCCACTGAAAAGTAACTAATGAGACGTGGGTTGTGAGTTGTGTGGAGACTCAGACAGAACATCAACAAAAACAAAAGTAAGAGGGAAAGTCGGCCAGAAGGGCCGTGCGTGTGACCTCAGGGACCCCTAGGAAGAGAGGCTTTCTTGGTTTACCCCGGTGTTGTCTGGATTCGGATCCAGAGACCCTTGCAAATCCAACGGCACGGTCTTAGGAATCAGTTCTTTGAAAAACTATTACGAGTTCTCCATTTTGGTGATATTTTTAAGTTATTTTACTATTTAGAGAGACAAGTATCTTCTATGCCAGTAATCATTTCAATTAATTTGTTTCATGTAATTCTTTTCATGTTAAAAGTCAGTGTTTCAGATCTAATCGCATGTACTTGGGCCTCATTATATACATTTTTTTCTTCAGGTATGTTTAGGAGACATCGGACATGCGATTCTGATTTTTCAGAAAAGACAGCACAACGAGAACGTAGCAGTACCCGCAGTGACATGACACAGATTGAGACGCAGCCTCTGCCATAAAACCCTAGTGTTTCACTCTTGTGGAACCACACAGGACCAAATGGGCTATAAAAATGAGAGTCAGTAGTTTGTGCTAAAGACATTTTGGAGAAAATTGCATATTCCGTTTGAAAAATATTAAAATACTAAAAGGAGGTACTATTATACTAGGATGCATACGTATTAAATAAAGATCTTTACCAGATGTTCCATCCATTAATTGACATTTGCACCAGAATTTTGTTTTTACTTGAAAATGACATAGCACTGTATGGTCTTTGCTTTTTCACACCTGCCTTTCTCTGTTTCCGTAGGAATCCAGAGTCTCCCGTCTTTCTGTTCTGACCTTCTGCTGCCCCTGGACGCTCCAGTCACCAGTGTCCCTGGTCCCGTAGTGGCTTCTGTGGGTCGGTCCCCGTAAGAACAGCTGCCAGGAGGTGGTCACCATGTTTTGTGCGAAGCTGAAAGACCTGCAGATCACGGGGGACTGCCCCTTCTCGCTGCTGGCCCCGGGCCAGGTCCCCAAAGAGCCCGCGGGCGAGGCGGCAGGGGGCGGGCCTGCAGCTCCGGCCGGAGGGCAGGGCCTCTGTCCCGGCGACCCCGAGAAGAAGCTTGGAGGGCTTCCTCAGAGAAAGAGTAGCCGCAGCCGTGTCTACCTGCACACTTTGGCCGAGAGTATCTGCAAACTGATTTTCCCGGAGGTGAGTGCCTGGCCTTTCGAGATTCTACTGATATTTTGAGAATGGCAAAAGGATGTTTTCCTAAGGAAAATGTGAACGCTTGCTTTCTCACTTTCAAGGCTACAGTCGATGTAGACTGTTTTCTGGAAACAATTAAAAACATTGTTTTTTTAAGCAGTCATTTTCTTAAGTTGTGTTTAATCTGAAAATGTTTACAATCTGGCGTGCTTTCCCAAAGCATCCTGCACTCTGACAGGCTTTATGACTTTGAGCCTCTGCTTCACCCTTTGGCCTCAGCATCCGTACCTGAAAATGGAAATGCTCACACCTAGAGTCTGCACGGGCATTAGGTGAAATAATCCACAGCTCTCGCCACCCACAAGGACCCATTTTCTTCTTATGGATGCCAAGCTAGTTTTTATGGATTCGTTAGCTATATTTTTAGAACTGAATTCCTTGAAGAATAACTTATTCCCTGCTGGCTTTTCCTAAGAGCATCATCTGTTCCCTGGCAACTTGCTGAGCTGGGAAGACTGCCACATCCTGCTGGTTCAGAGTCTGAAGTCTCCACTCAGGACAGGCCTGACCTGCTTCCTTGAGTCAGGGTCACGGGCCGTGACACCCACCTGCCCTCGGCTCAGACACATCTTTTTTTTTTCTTTTCTTTTTTCTTCTTTTTCTTTTTTTTTCTTTTCTCACTGTTGTGGCCTCTCCCATTGCGGAGCACAGGCTCCGGGACGCTCAGGCCCAGCGGCCATGGCTCACGGGCCCAGCCGCTCCGCGGCATGTGGGATCTTCCCGGACCGGGGCACGAACTGGCGTCCCCTGCATCGGCAGGCGGACTCTCAACCACTGCGCCAGCAGGGAAGTCCTCAGACACATCTTGATGTAGCTCTGTGGGCTGGGCTGCACAGCCTGATGCCGTTTTGAGATGTGGAGCGCAGCCCTTAAGGAAATTATGGAAAGACCGATGCTGTAAGGTCTCACTTATATGTGGAATCTTAAGAACAACAACAACTCATAGAAAGTACAGACTGGCAGTTATAAGATAAATGAGTACTAGGGTGTAACGTTGCAGCACGGTCTCTGGACCTGGCACTGCTGTGTGATGTGTAGGAAAGTCGTTAGGCAAATCCTGTGAGTTCTCATCACAGGGAGACTTTGTTTTTCTTTTTTCTTTCTGTTCTTTTTACTGTATCTATAGGAGAATGTGGATGTTAGCTGAACCTATTGTGGTAATTATTTCACACTCTATGTAAATCAAGCCGTCATGCTGTGCCCTGTATACTTAGACAGTGATGTATGTCGATTATTTCTCAATAAAACGGGGGGAAAAAGAACTCTGGGGACAGAGCATAGACCAGGTAAAATATCTTTGGAATGGATGGGGCATGTGGAGGGTTCCTCGCCCCTTGTGGTCAAAGAGAAGAGCTTTTTACTGAAAGGCTTCATGGTGTGTCTTCCTCCCTCTGTCAGTGTTCACGATTTTATATAAATTCGCATCAACTGGGAGACTGGGGATTGATGTGATCAGGTTCCAGCTCTCATCATCCACGGATGAGTTTCAGTTGACTCCACACCACCCCTGTGCCTGTGTGGAGCACTGAAGAACCACAGACTGGTGACTTTTAGGAGTGGCAGGGACGTCAGAGAGAAACTTGTTTCACTCCCAAGAAGGACTAGAGAGGCTGAGTGACTTGACCAAAGTCACACAGCTTTGGAAGGATAGAGCAATTACTGCTGTCAACAATAGGGACTCGAGTGACAAAGAAGAGACTTGAAGCTTGAAGGATGGATAAATTAGAATTAGCAGGAAATTGAGGGAACTTATGTCAAATATAAAAAAGCACAGTAGTACTTTGGTTCGTGGCCTTTGAGATGGAAATATTTAATTATTCTCTCCCTGCTCCAGTCACTAGCCAGCCAGCTTTGGCTGGGGTGAGGGATGTAGCCCTTCTCAGGCAGGTGGCTGGCATCACAGTCTGGGAAGTGGTTGGTACTCTCATTTCCAAGGACAGAGCGTGATGCACAGGGATGACCCGGTGGTGAGGATGGACGGCCGGAGACCTTCCATGCCTTCCCTGGGTCTTGTCATTACCATGTTGGCTTCATTATTCTGTTTGATAAGTTTTGAGTTCCTACAATAGAAGTCATACACATGTTGGAACCTCTGTTCAAAACATTCTGAACACCAAACATATATGTTCCTGTTTTCCTTTTCTTTACTTAGAAGGATCTGTGTCGTTTGTTCGTGAGCTCACAGGAATAATCGTCAAGGTTTGACTCCGCTGTCATGTAGCAGGGAAGGCGAGGACATAGGCCTTCCAAGAGGCAGGAGGTGACCCTTGGCATCAAGGACCAGGACTCTTCCCGCAACTGAGGCCATTTTCATTAAAACAGGGAATGTCCCAGGGCCGTGTAGTAAACAACCTAGATTGCTTCATCCCCTGTCCAAACATCTACGTGTCTTTGATTAAGTAGGCCTTTTTTTTTTTAACCGATTCTTTTTAAGTGGACAGATTTAATGCTTAGCCTACTGTTCAGTTTCAGTTCTATGAGTAACCCAAAGGATGACACTCCAAATGGTATTTGATGGCACCCTGGTTCTTGCTTTCGATAATCAGATTTAACTCCCCAATTCTGTTTTATGGGGGGACAAGTATATCCTTAGCAGACTTAGAGTGGGAGATGGCTTTCCAGAGTTGTGGAATCGTAGGTTACAGAAGTCGTTTTGCTCATCTAATGCAAACTTTTCACTCGTTTGAAGAAACTGACGCATAAAAGGCCACTTGCTTTAAGTAAAAGATAACTGAGGAGCCCGGAATGTTCTCTGCGCCTCATTCGTAATCTGTCGCTCTTTTCTGTTACATTGTTAGCTGATTTTTCTTGAATATCCTCCCCAGTAATCCTGTAAGCTCCTCAGGCAGAACGTCTTTAAAGAAATGATGATATGGTATTGGCCACAGTTGTAGCAAATCAGAACCCACTTCCTGAATTGAATCAATTGAGTCAGATATGCTTATATAAAGGGTATCATCCCAAATCCAAGACCTTGTGAGATTAAGAGGGTCTGAGGGCACTCCTGAAGTCTATAAATGTGCTGCAAAATATTGGCTTGCAAGAAGAAAAAAGAGAAGGAGTTTTACAGCATCCTTATGAGGGAAATATCCTTGGTCTAGAAAATCATTAAAAACTGTAGAAAACACCCCATCCCAGCTCCTGCCATACTTAAAACTTTCAATGACTTTTCATTGCTCTAACATAAAAATAAACTTTCTTAATATAGCCTCCAGGCCCCCCCCCCAAAAAAAAACCTGTAGAAAAGTTAAAAATCAACTGAAAATAGCAACATATCCATAAACCAGACCAATGAAATTCCATTCAGAGTGTTCCCAACAATATTGCATCAAACAGCAGTTGTACCTGAGGTATTAATATATGAGTATCCTCTAGGGCTGTCCTGCAGTGATTGATTCTGTGTCATGAGGCCTGAGGTCTCAGGAAAGTTGAGTCCTGTTCGTGGATTTCTTGTGAACTGCGTCATCTCAGGGTCTAGGCTCAGGTTGTTTTGTAGAAGCCCTAGCACCAAGGTAGGAAACTATGCACGAGCAGCCTTTACCAATGCATGTTTTGTCTGAAAAGCTTGTTGGTTTTGTTTTGTCTTGTTTTGAATTCATAACAGTTTCCCAGAGGTGCAGTGGTGGGTGATGAAAGTAGACAGGAAAGCCTGGTAAGCCACAGTATCACCAACTTATGCTACTACAGCTTGGCTAGGACTTTGGAACTTTCTTCTTTAGAAAAACAGATTCTTTTTTTAAAAAATTTTATTGGAGTATAGTTGATTTACAATGTTGTGTTAGTTTCAGGTGTACAGCATAGTGATTCAGTCATCCATATGCATATATCCATTTTTTTTCAGATTCTTTTCCTGTATAGGTCATTACAGAGTATTGAGTAGAATTCCCTGTGCTGTACAGCAGGTCCTAAGTTCTGATTCAACATGGAAAGTCAGGAAGACACCTGTTCCACAAACCCCAGCAGTGAGAGAGGGACCATTTCTCCTTGCTTACAATGGCAGCATATATGCTAGGAGGAAAGGACTAGAGAAAGAAGTTCCTGGTGGCAGTGGGAAGGAAATGAAAAACCAGGAAGAATACAGACTGGCAAGGATAAAACCATGTACCTGGTGTTTTAACCGAAAGGTCAAGAAGAGGAGAGAGAAGGGTGGTGTCTCAACTAGCGCTCGGGGCGAGGAAGGAAAAAGTCTTCGGTGCCAGAATTGGATGGATTCTCTTTTCTCATTGCTCATGCGAAGTTCCTGGTCAGAGCAGCAACTCATATATAAACAAATGTAATCAAACTATTTTAAACTGGAAACAATCTAAATCCATTTTTGAACAAGCTGAAAGAGTAACACCTCTGTACTGGCTTATACCTCCTCACTGATAGAAATGTTATAGACCAAGCCTTCAAGACTGAATAGCTGATGGGGGCACGGGGGTGATGGTCATTCATTCATTCATTCATTCATCCCATCACTGTGTAGCGAGCATCTCCCGTGGCCAGGTACTATCTAGGTGCTGGGCATGCAGTAGTGAGCAAAACAGGTATTCCCTGCCCTTTTGGAGTCTCTATTCTAGCGGAGAAGACAGAAAATGAGAAACAAATGTCACGTAGCAAATGCTTGAAAGACAGGCTCGTGCAGAGGCAGTGACCCTCATTACGCGACTGACCCCCTCTTCCCGTATGAATAGGTTTTACGGAAAGATGGATGGGGCGGAGCTGAAACTGGCAGTCGCACATATAACTGATAAGAGTGCCAATTGCTACAAACTTCTATGAAATTAATTTGGAAAGAGCTACTGAAAATTAAAACTCCACAGACTTTAAGGGTTTCACTGAAAAAAAATATAGCTTATGGACATAAAAAGCAATATATGAGAGAAAAAAAAGGCCCTTGAGAAACTGAAGATTCTTCAGCACCCCCGGCTGATCTGCCTCGTTTACGGTCTCGGGTTTAATGTTCCCTTCCTCCTTCCCCGATTCAAGGGCTCTGAGGAACAGGCCCCCATTTCTCTTCCCAAACCCGTTCCCCACCTGCCAGGCATCCGGCCCTTGGTCGGAATCTGCCCACTGTTCCAGCCCTTCTTTCCTCCTGAGGCAGATGTGTCCTCTCTCTCCTCACCGGAACCGTCAGAAAAATGGTTCTACGTGGTAAATCTAAGTTCTCCTTTCTTTTCAGCCCTTGCATTTTCTTTCAAGAAATTTCACATTTCTTTTCTAAGCTCTATATGCTCTTTAAAAACCAAAAGTTTTGGGGCTTCCCTGGTGGCGCAGTGGTTAAGAATCCATCTGCCAACACAGGGAACACAGGTTCGAGCCCGGGTCCGGGAAGATCCCACATGCCGCGGAGCAACTAAGCCCGTGCGCCACAACTACTGAGCCTGCACTCTAGAGCCCGCAGGCCACAACTGCTGAGCCCGCGTGTCACAACTACTGAGCCTGCACGCCTAGAGCCCGTGCTCTGCAACAAGAGAAGCCATCGCAATGAGAAGCCCGCGCACCGCAACGAAGAGTAGCCCCCGCTCGCCGCAACCAGAGAAAGCCCGCGTGCAGCAACGAAGATCTAATGCAGCCAAAAATAAATAAATTTTAAAAAAACACCAAAATTTATTTTCATAACTGATTTTATTAAAACAGAAGCTTGGTCTATTTTGCTTAACTTTACTGTCTCACTTGACCAGTGGAAATTCCAAGAAAAATATAAATATTTCTCAAGGAAAAAGGAATTTCACAACTTGGGATATAGCCAGAGAATTCTCCACTGTCCTCTGTGTAAACTACACAAAGAACTGGTGGCTATATACACACACAGATACGTATGATTTTTTTAAGGAATGCAAGGAAACTACCAGTGCTTTACTTCCCACTTATCAACAAGCTGTTAAGAGAGATTAACAGTATTGAAACCAGTGTTTAAAACCATGCAGGCTTATGTACAACTATTTTGCAATCTAGGAAGATTCATGAGATACTCAGAAATCAATAGAAGAGAAGAACACTGCAAGTATTTGGCGAAGATTATTCGTTCAAAGGAAGGAAATGAGTGCAAGTTCGGGGAAATCTGAGATTTGTTTCAATCAGTGATCAACCGACCTTGGTGACAGATTGGATTTAAGGGATAAAAGAAAGGGGAGAGACAAACTCGGGAGTTTTCTAGAGCAGGACACGTAAACCATACATGAGACAGAAATGCGGGTTTGTGGGAAGGGTGGCGGTCACTGGGGTAGCTGGTGTGGGTCTGTGGAAGGAGTGTGAGTCTCTTGGCTTGAGCGCCCCTGAGACTGAAGTCCTGGCCACACACCCAAGGGGTTTCCGGCCCCCGAGGAAGGGGTGCCCGCGATTCCTCCACGAAGGCTTGACTTCACCAAACCAGGTCTCCTGTTTGATTCCAGCTCAGTGGCTGTCAGTGAGCGCCCACCGAGGGCAAAGCCCACATCCAGACTCAAGTGCGTCTGAGAGCTTTGCTTCTGCCCGAGTGTGAAAAGCTCATAGAAAATCTATCCCCTTTTCCACAGTGTCAGTTCACTGCACTTATTAAAGTAACTGCTTCTGCTTCTTCATAAGGAGCTTTCAGCACCAATTTTCTGTAAAGTATGTATCTTCAAGAATATGATTGTTTAAGGGAATGTTTAAAACTTTTCCTTTCAATTTTCAGTTTGAGCGGCTGAACCTTGCCCTTCAGAGAACACTGGCAAAACACAAAATAAAGGAAAGCAGGTAAGTTGAATCACTTTAGTTGCACGAATCTCCTGTTGCAATCGCTGACACAGCTACTAATAACCACCACTGAGTGATGTATGCGTGTGTTTTGAATCATTTTGGTATGCCGGGAACTGGGCTAACACTCATATGAAAGCAAGTGTATTCATTTTTCACATTTTATATATCACTAAGCTCAGGCTCCTGTAAAATATCTGGGCTCGTATAGCTGTTCAGGCAAAGGCAGAACTGAGTTTCAAGCCTGGGTTTTTCAGAGCCCATGATTTTAACCATGTTGCCCTGTGCTGTTGCTTTTAACAAGCTCCCAGAAGGTCTGTTCTTCCCTAGCAAGGGTAGCTTCTGAAATGTTTTACAAAGGTAAGGCATGGGTCAGAGCAGAGTCCTTGCCTGAAGAACACTGCCGAGAGGCTGGGGCCTGCCTGTCCCTCCCCCATAGCCTTGACCACAGGTTAAACTTTCAGCTCCTGCATCAGGAGGACGGGAAAGGATATAGGGGCAAAAGGAGGACCACTCAGGGGTCTGGGGCAGTACTCAGGGATGCGTTTCGGTATTTTCCTAACTGGTTCGGTTATACTGGTGTGCGAATAGCAGTTCCGTTTGTATTTGTTCTTCCACTCTGTCTTTGAAATATTCTTTAAGAAAGCTTTCTGTAGCCGTTTCATGTATAAGGTAATTAAAAAAAAAAAACAACAACCTGACTTTTAGAGTTCATTTTAAAAATACATCTTGGCTCATTTACTGCCGGTGGATAACTTGATTTGGCCTTGTTTTGGTTTTCCTGAAATCAGAGGATTATTTCATGTGCAAATAATACAATAAGCACGAGTTCAAATTTTCAGAATTGAACTTGGAAGTTTCGCAAACCAGTATCATTGTCGGGAATATTTTACAAGTTCATTCATCTGTCTGCTGCTCAGGAGTGGATAATCGGCTCTGCAGATTATCAGGGCTGAATTTCCCTTGCTGACTAACTGGTCCCACACTGTAGGCAGCAGGCAAAGCCAAGGAGGGGTCAGAGACAGGTCCAAAAAGAGAGAGTGTGAACCTGTGTGTCTGACAGAAGCTGTGTTTACAGAGTGATATGGAAAGCATCCCAGAACGCCTCTGACCTTAATTCTCAGTCAGGCTGATAAGACAGCCAGCAAGTCCTGTAGCTGTGCTATGTCTGTCTGCCTAGGGCTTTGGCAGACAGTTTACTCAGAATTTATTCTCAGGGCCTTGTGTCCTGAAATGTGCCTAAGCTAGATGCAGATATTCAGTTAGGATGTGTTCCCAGAGACATATCTCTTTTAAAAAAAATTCTCAAAACTTAAAAAAATTATTTTATTTGGAAATTAAAAAAAATCTTTTACCACGTCCCTGACTTCTTAGAGTTGCTCACACTTTTAAATTGTCCTCATCACTATTCCACTGTTGAAATAAGATGAAGGACCTCCTTTCTTATGGGACTGCCTACTGATGTGCTAAATGGCTCCTCTCTGCTTTCTTTCTTTAGTTCTTCGGGACATTGGGCCTTTCTCCCCATCTTTCTGGCAGCTCAGCTGCTGTTTCTACTGCAGTCAGTTTGCTGCCTTCTGAGGGTACCTTAACTGCCCTGTCCGCCACCTCTGTTAAGTGAATGAGTTTTAGTACAACCCGTTATGATACCTCTTTGGGTTGGTTGCACAGAGAGCTTTGGGTTTGTTTCTTTTTCTAGGACCGTTTGATCACATCACAGCATCATGTGTGAACTTGTGGCTGGTGTGTGTGTCTCTGTGTACAATATATGCACATTTGCTGGTGTCCATGCAGGCTTACACCTAGTTTTTTTGTTTTTGTTTTTTGAGGGTAAAGAGGGGGAGCTTATTTTGTTTTTTGGGTTTTTTAAAATAAATTTATTTATTTTGGCTGCGTTGGGTCTTCGTTGCTGCGCTTGGACTTTCTCTAGTTGCGGCGAGCGGGGGCTACTCTTCGTTGCGGTGCGCGGGCTTCTCATTGCGGCGGCTTCTCTTGTTGCGGAGCACGGGCTCTAGGCGCACAGGCTTCATAGTTGTGGCGCACAGGCTCAGGAGTTGTGGCTCGTGGGCTTCAGTAGTTGTGGTTCGCGGGCTCTAGAGCGCAGGCTCAGTAGTTGTGGCGCACAGGCTTAGTTGCTCCGCGGCATGTGGGATCTTCCCGGACCAGGGCTCGAACCCGCGTCCCCTGCATCGGCAGGCGGACTCCCAACCACTGCGCCACCAGGGAAGCCCAAGGAATAGGTTTCTTTAGTTACTAATTTTTATGTAAGATCAAGGATAAAAGTTTAATGTGATGATGTGTGAGAGTCACGTATATAGAACCAAAAAGTCAAAAGCAGGACGTGCTATGTATTTGCTTTAGAAAATAATTAAGAACTTACTTAAAAGTGAAATCCCTCAGTACAGACATTTTTCTTCTTGGTTGGGTTATCAGAAAACCCCATGCTGACTTATTATCATCTTTTCCTGGCCATTTCATACCACTGGTTTTCTGCCAGTACAGCCTCTATACTATTAACCAATATGAAGTTAGCTTCAAAGGTAAATATGCCTTATAAGAAATGATGAAACACTCTAAATCAGGTATATTCAGGGTTTTCCCAACATTGTTTTGGGTTTGTACATGTCACTGCTCCTTTCCTGTAAACTTGACAGTCAAGATTTGCCTCTACAGAAAAGGTAATTTAAATTATTTTCTGTCATCATTCCTGTATGTTATAATCTGAAATTTTAGCATTCACTTGTCAGTTTATAATTTAAGATATTGAAATAATTTCAGGAAATCTTTGGAAAGAGAAGACTTTGAAAAAATAATGGCAGACCAAGCGATTGCAGCAGGTAATAGAATTAAGTATATGCAATTAGGAAATAATTATACTTGTAGAACTAATGTTTTACCTGTAAACAAAGATTTTCTATTCCTAGAAAATATTTAGCTGGAGAACTAATATTTTCTTTAAAATATTCATATTTATTTGTTGGTAGCTTCCAGTGTGAAGTGTTAAATGTCATGTTTTCCGTTAACACAGAGAATAACTCTTTTTCGTACTATATGTCTTTGTTTGACCTCAAACATTTCCTCTTCTTACAATGTTTATTTGCTGAGAAGTAGATAAAGCTGCGTGGGAGGCTGACTCATAGGCATTCACAGGCTTTGCTCTTGAACTTTAAGTGTTCCTCATTTATGCATGAAAAATTCTACTCAGCAAAGTAAAAGAAGTAATTTTTTTAAAGGTTGGAAGCAATCATGGGGAAAAAGGTGAGCAGCGCTCTCATATTAATACCTAGTTTGGAGGAAACAAGCAGATGAGTGGCTTTGTCATACTGTCCTTTCCAAAGTTTGAGTACATGAACCAACAGGTTAGATGTTTCTCAAAGTACAAGATATGAAGAACTTGATGATGATGATGATGACAATGGCGATGGCTGACGTGTACTGAGCCCTTCCTCTGGGTCAGGCGCGATCCTAACGTGCCCGCCAACCCTGCCATGGCAGTGCTGTGGACAGGGCACTCGGGTTTCCCTAAGTCACAGATGAGAAGAATGTGGTACCCAGAGTGTAAAGAGCAAAGGACATTAGAGGGAGAAGCTGTGGATAGTAGATAATATATTCCAAACACCTATTCGGTCAGGTAACATCAAACAAGAATGCTATTTTACTCGTAAAAAAATTACTTCATATCGTCTCTAAGGAAAAAATGACAAAATTGAGTTTCACCACCAGTGATTTAAATTAATTCCTGTATCTGATGCTTATACTCCAAGGGGGCCGGGACGCCTTCACCCACATGTACCACTGTTTCCGTTGTTAACAAGGTGGGAGAGCTTTTTCTGAAATAGGCTTGATCCTGTGACTCCAATTGCTCTTTTATAGTTAAGTTTCAGGGAGATAAAAAGTCATATATTATACTCAGTTGATCATTCTTTCGTAATTAACTAACTTGGGATTCATATTAGGAGTTATCCAAATTTTAGAAACTATGTAGATAATTTAAACACGGGTAGTTAATGTTGGTTGGAAATCTTATTAGCAGATAGAAAGCAAACTAACTCGTCAGATAGAACAATATTGAAAACAGTAACAGCACATCTCTGCTAAGATGGCGCATCTGATACGGCAGAAAATGTATTATATGCTTTCAGGAGTCCCAGTGGAGATCATCAGAGAATCTCTCGGTGAGGAGCTTTTTAAAATATGCTATGAAGAAGACGAATACATCCTAGGTGTGGTCGGAGGAACCCTGAAAGACTTTTTAAATAGCTTCAGCACCCTTCTGAGACAAAGCAGCCACTGCCAGGAAGCAGAAAAGAAGGGCAGGTTTGAGGACGCGTCCATCCTATGCCTGGATAAAGATCCCGATTTCTTAAATGTTTACTATTTCTTCCCCAAGAGGATCACTTCCCTGATTCTCCCCGGCATCGTTAAGGCAGCTGCTCGCATCTTGTACGAAACCGAAGTGGAGGTGTCCTCGACGCCCCCCTGCTTCCACCAGCACTGCAGCGAGTTCATGGACCAGCCCTGCCTGCTCTACTCCGTCCACGTCAAGACCCCCCGACCGTCCCCACCCCCGGGGAAGCCCCTGTCCTCGCTGGTGATCCCCACCTCGCTCTTCTGCAAGACCTTCCCCTTCCATTTCATGCTGGACAGAGACATGGCCATCCTGCAGTTGGGCAACGGCATCAGAAGGCTGATGAGCAGGAGAGACGTGCAAGGGAAGCCTCATTTTGACGAGTACTTCGAGATTCTCACTCCCAAAATCAGCCAGACCTTCAGCGGAATCATGACCATGCTGAACATGCAGTTTGTGGTCTGCGTGAGGAGGTGGGACAACGCCGTGAAGAAATCTTCCAGGGTAAGAAGAACGTTACACTGTTGTGAATATGGAATCCGTTGTTTCACATTTAAAGACTAGAAATAAAAAAGGTGAAAATATACGCATTGCTTGAGATGTTTTAATACAGCATTTCTGTTTAAGGCAATTCTAAAATACTTGGAAGGGTGGAATAAATTTAAGACAAGATTCTTTTCTGCATTCATTTGCTTGCTTACTTAAGCCATCACTGCACAGGTATTTGTTGAATGCAGTCTACCTTTTACAATCTTTATGGAGTATTTTATAACTGAATTAGAAAAATATTGATGTAAAAGTATGGTTTCGGTCATCATGAAATAGCTGACTTAATTTGGAATGATAAGAGGGATTCTACAACAAAGAAACAAAAACTTGTTTCTTACAGGAGGCAACTAAATGGATTTTTTCAATATTTAATAGACATGGAAAAAAATCAATAACTTCTTTGATTAACTGTTAGAGAATGTGGGGAAAAATGTTCTGCTCTCATAATAGAGAACCACGGTAATGATTTAGAAAAATGTTTGGGAAATCACAACCGATAGTACAAGCGAGCTCAAAGAAAGGCTTATGACGCATCTAACTTCTGGACACACGTAAACCAGCAGACATGCTGTCTGTCCCCCCAAATGAAAACAGCTTTATTACTTTTTATCCTAAAAGTAGTATAGCTAAGTGTTTAAAAAATAGGTAATACTTAAAGATGTTCATTGCAAAATCAAAAACATTAATTATACACATTTTTGTTTAAAACAAAATATACTATTTACAACTTTTTTTTTTTAAATCACTAAACGATACCTGTGGGCCTCCTGCCATGTCATTAGATACCTGTCTTGTTTCACGTTTTCTTCAAAGGCCGTGTCGTATCCCATCGTGTGGTTTTCCGTTTAACCGTTCACTATTGAAGGACACCTGCGCTGCCTTCCACTTTGCTGCCGTGAACACACATGTACACGTTTGTCTCATTCACACAAGTAACCCTGTCATCCAGGACAAACACACGAAGCCCCCCTCGCTCAGGGCTCCTTGTGCCATCCTTTCTGCTGCTGCCCACAGAATGTAGCAGCAGAAGCATCAGCGTGCCACATAGTGAGAAAGCCCTGAAGCAAGAATTTGGGGCTCTGTTGATTGAAAATCATGATTTCTGTGCAGCCTGTACTGCAGTGTATTCTCCAAATGTCTGCGTGCATTTTAGAATTCATAGTAAATTGCAACGATAAGAAAGCATATTGTTTCTGTTGACCAGTAGAAAAAAATCAAGTCTAAAAACAAAAGGAGGGACCTCCCTGGCGGTCCAGGGGTTAGGACTCCACGCTTCCACCGCAAGGGGCACAGGTTCGATCCCTGGTCGGGGCACTGAGGTCCGCGAGCCTCAGGGTACAGCCACAGAAACCAAGGGGATTATCCCTGTACCCGCCTCACCTTTTGTCTCAGAAAGGTGTTGGGAACTTGAATAAGCCACAACGGTTGGTGCTTCTGCCTACGCAGGTGATGGACCTCAAAGGCCAGATGATCTACATGGTGGAGTCCAGCGCCATCCTGTTCCTGGGCTCGCCCTGCGTGGACAGACTGGAGGACTTCACGGGCCGGGGGCTCTACCTCTCGGACATCCCCATCCACAACGCACTGCGGGACGTGGTCCTGATCGGAGAGCAGGCCAGGGCGCAGGACGGCCTGAAGAAGAGGCTGGGCAAGCTCAAGGCCACCCTGGAGCAGGCCCACCAGGCCCTGGAGGAGGAGAAACGGAAGACGGTGGACCTCCTGTGCTCCATCTTCCCCTGCGAGGTGGCGCAGCAGCTGTGGCAGGGCCGAGCCGTGCAGGCCAAGCGGTTCGGCGACGTCACCATGCTCTTCTCGGACATCGTGGGCTTCACGGCCATCTGCTCTCAGTGCTCCCCGCTGCAGGTCATCACCATGCTCAACGCGCTCTACACCCGCTTCGACCGGCAGTGCGGGGAGCTGGACGTCTACAAGGTAGGGGCCGGCGGGGGGCAGGGCGAGGCCAGGGGCCCCAGCCCGGGAGCAGGCGGCGTGCCTCGGCCGTGCGCGCGGCCTCCGGCACGAAAGGGCTCCGAAGCCGCGCATTCCAGAAAGGATGAGCTTGTGCCAAAGAAAAAGTACAGAGTGCAGGGGTGACAGAGCGAGGGGGCGGGCCTCGGACCCTCAGAGAGGGTAATTTTAAAGGACAGTGAGCCTGGGCTTCCCTGGTGGCGCAGTTGTTGGGAGTCCGCCTGCCGATGCAGGGGAAGCGGGTTCGTGCCCCGGTCCGGGAAGATCCCACGTGCCGCGGAGCGGCTGGGCCCGTGAGCCATGGCCGCTGAGCCTGCGCGTCCGGAGCCTGTGCTCCGCAACGGGAGAGGCCACGACAGTGAGAGGCCCGCGTACCGCAAAAAGAAAAAAAAAAAAAAAGCCAGTGAGCCTGAGCCTCGACTGTGAGACCCGAGATGAACTGTTAAGGTGAGATGTTTCAAGGTTAGCCTTGCATAGGGAGGACGTATCCTTTCTCTCTGCAGAAGGAAAGAAGCACGAGGACTGCACGAACGGATTCATTCAGTACAGGGTAACGGGATCCTTTTCACAGCCGGGGAAGAGAAACCCAAGTCAACGGCTTACGGGGTTACTGTACCCAGGCCAAGGGCAGAAGGAGGCCTGTCTTCCAATCTCCTTTACTGCCTTATTGGCTTTGTAAGCAGAGAAAGTTATTTTCTGAAACAGAAACAGAGGATATAATACCCACCCACAGAGTTTATATGCATGAATAACATGCATTATGTCCCGTAATCTTCATGAACACGACTGTTGCAAAGATTACGGTAAAAAAAATAATCTGTCATTCATCAGCCAGCAGGCGCTGAGTGCCTACAGGGTAGCAGCAGCCATCATTATAGGCTCCGAGGATGCACAGAGATTGTCCCTGAAACATAATAAACTATTTTTTAAATGTAACTTTTGTTAATAAGAGAACCAATGCAGACACTTTGTGTTCAGCTTATTTCTTTAGAAGTAAAACATATTTTCTTGCTGATTTAAAGTATTTTACGTTGTCCTAAATACTGGCATTAGGAATAAAGCATGCTTCTCATTTATGTGGCTTGAATCATCTTTTAATTTGCCACATAAAAATCTGGCATTTCAGAGCTTAATGCAACATGAAAATAAATAAATGATTAAAGAGGAAACAATTATTTATGGGACTCTATAAGCCCCGCCTTTGTTCCAATCTAGATGCTCGAAGTAAAACTTTCCTTTTAAAAAATTTGTAACAGGAAATTCCAGACAGAGCTATGATTCCCTTAGGAAAAAAGAGGTCCATGCATAATTACAGATAAAATAATTGGCTTCACTTAGGTTAAGCCTCATGGCCTCTTGTGGAATTCACTGTATTTATTTGTAGACAGTTTATGTCTTGAGAATATCTCCTCTCAGAACTGGGAGGTCTCCCTGTCTTCTGCAAAGTGCTGTGGCTGCTCGCAGAAGCTGCCCGCTGCTGCACGGTTCGCCCTGTTGAAACTTTAAAATATGGGTCATTCTCCCCAGTGTTCAGAATCTTGTACCTCACGATGAGGGTGCGGGCGCAGAGACCCCTGGGGGCCCAGCCGCAGCCCCAGCCAGAGAGCCTGCATCCTCGTTTCACCTGCTATTCATGCCGACTCTGCGTGGAAACACCTGGAGATGCTGTGAACAAACGGGGGAGGGTCCTCACCTCGGAATAACCTTAAGATATAGAGAGTGTTCATCAGGGGCTGACCTGTGCCCGTGGTGGCTTCCGAGGAACAGTCGGGCTTGTTTATTCCAGGACCCGGCTGGACCAGGACTTCATTCAGTTACATTTCCTTTCTGTCTTTCAATCTCTCGGTCGTTTTCTGCTTATTTGAGTGTGTATTTGTCTGTTGTTTCAGCACATCCTTACTGGCCCTCCAGCGTTGGCCAGCGTGGGAGGGGGCACAGTCCCTGTGAAAAGAGTCCACGGTGGGGGGCGGGCAGAGGAGGGACACACAGAGACGCACAGGGCAGATTCCCTGTGACACTGGGGACGCGATACCACTCTCACCTCTGCAGGGGCTGCAGCAGCACAGAGGACAGCACCCAACACCCAGTAGGGGCGAGGGTGCCCTTCTCCCACTTAGTAACACTTCCTGAGCCCTGTGACAGGTTAGCCGTTAGCCCGAGAGCTTCTCTGCCTGTAGTGCTGAGGAGATGCTCTCGGGATGCCCGGCCACGGGGCTGTGTCCTTGGTGAACAGCCTGGGCCCCAGTGATGGAGAAGTTGATGAGACAGACTCCAAGAGCTTGCGTCCCACTGAGAGAAAAGCCAACAAACAGGGGCCTAACTCCAACAGCATCCCCGTTGGTGTGCTCTCCTGGTAGGAAATGGAGCAGGTACGGGGCCGTGGGCGGGATCGGCCTTCCTCGCCAGGTGGGTGTCAGCAGGGCCCAAGGAGACCAGGGACACGCCAGGTGGCCACCTGCAGGAAGACTGTTCCAGACCGAGGAGTAGCAAGTGTTTGGTATGTTTGAGGGGAAACAGGTGGCCGCTGGCTTGGAACACAGTGTGCAAGAGGGAGAGTTAGGAGATGGATTGGGGGCAGCGGAAAGGCAGGGCACGAACTTGGGGGGCACGTTAAGGGCCCCGGCATTTATTCTGCATGAAACAGGGAATCCTGAAGTTTGTTCCCGTTCTCTTCTCTCTCGTCTCCGTCCCCCTAGATTGGAAGCTCTGGATCAGAACAGTGATATGATCTGATAAGTTACAATTAATATTGAGAGGAGAAAAATGTACCTATTACAGATTGGTGGCTTATTTGTGGATTTAAAGTAACCATGAGCTTTCTGTACTCAGGATAAAAATCAGACAGATAAAAATCATTCGTAGCAACAGTAATCACGACAATGATAATAATATACATGAAATTTACAGAAGAGCCTGATTTCCAATAGCTTTCCAGTCACCACTGTCTCTGCCTCTGGGCTTGACATCTTGGTTTCTACACTTTGTGATTAGCGTTGCTATGACAACCCCAAATGTCCTTTTGAAAAGCTAAAATGACAGTTTTAACCAGGCATATCCTTATTAAATTCACAGGGCCTTGATTCAGTAGTGACTTTGTTCAGGTCGCTGTATTTTATGCTGAGAGGGTATAAAATTACCCAGTATCTTAAACAGTTTAGTATAAACCCCAAAGTACGTCATTTGCTTCTACAAAGCCCTTTTACGTGGTGGGGAAAGAAGGAGGTGAGTCAGTGGCGATCCTGGGAGTAGAAGCCCCTCCCGAAACTGTGTTCACAGCACGGCACTGCCGCTCACCTTGTGCGCTTCCTGGAAAGGAAAGCCTTTTCCAAGAGTCTGATTTGCTCTGATGTTCCATTGGCCCTGAGCGCTCAGGTGTCTGCTGCATGATTCTTAATTTCTGCTCTATGATATGCGCTGTGATGCTTCCCCAGTTTCTGTTTGTAACGTGGAAAATCCGTTGTGCGTAGGTGGAGACCATCGGCGATGCATACTGTGTGGCTGGGGGCTTGCACAAAGAGAGTGACACCCACGCTGTTCGGATCGCACTGATGGCCCTGAAGATGATGGAGCTCTCTGATGAAGTGGTGTCTCCCCACGGAGAGCCCATCAAGGTGAGGCGTATCACGTACTGGCCAGGAGATGTCAGGACAGTAAATGCTGACTAGTTAGATCCCAACAGAATGGTGCATCCCTCAGGGTTTAGTGGCAGAGAGCAAATCTCCAGCTCGCTTTACTACGCGGTGTTAAATGGCTTACAGATCACTTAGAGACCAAAGATGCCATCCATGGCTTGAGCTTTGCAAAAATGGTTCCCAAACCCGCACTTCAGAACCACAGCTTCCTCCGTGACCTGGAAGCTGGTTCCAGAACCACACAGCCACAGCCAGGCAGGGAACCACTGTGCTCGGAAAGCAGCTGTGTCCACTGCTGGCTGCAGAAGAAAGTTGGAGCTACTGTAATTGCATCAGCAACGTGGAAATACTGCATCACGACTCTTCCAAAATGAATGACTGGCAACTGGGCTCCCAGCTAAGCAGGGGAGAGAAAACACAAAGCCTTCCCCAGCCGTGCTCACACCGGGAGTGCAGGCAGAAATGCAGGTTTCCAGAGCTCATGCAAGGGCTTCTGATTCACCACACCTAAGTACATCCAGAACCTTCAAGGGACTTTGGAAAATGAGATGTTTAGTTTTTTGAGCCCTGCAGGGGAGCAATTACACGAGAATGAAGTGGGCTGCTAACCCACCAATATTTTCCAGGACACATAAAATTCCAAATTTTCTAGATGAGCCAGATCCCAGAATAATAATGTCTTATAGCAGATGAGAAAATAAAATTAACATGCTAACCATTGATTTAATAGATAAAACGTGAGTGGAATATCCTTATTTGTCCCACTTGAAGTGAATCTGCCATTTAATTTTTATAGAACAGTCTCAGTTGATGACCTTCAGAAATGGGCCTTTGAAGTAATATGGAATCCTGTGTGGCATGATATAAAATATAGAGAGAAGGAGGAAAGAAATTGGAAGTTTAGCCAGGGCTCTCCCCACTGTTAATAGAAGCCGTGTGTGTAAGCCTTCACAACTATCTTCTACGTCAACTCTCATCCCAGCTATATACTGATGTGTGACACACTTCCCTAAAATTAGTGGCGTAAAACCACAGAGCTTTGATTTTGCACTGATTCTGTGCGTCGGAATTTGGATGAGGCAAGGCAGGAATACCTTGTCATTTCTCACAGTATCTGGCACCTCAGCGGTCGAGGGCGCGTAGGGTAGCTGGGATTACACCACTTGAACCAGAGCTTCGCTCGCCTGCCTGGTTCCGTGGGTGGGGCTGGCGGAGGGCGGGGCCCAGCTGGGACTATCAACTCAGGTGCTCACCTGTCACGCTCCGCTGGGGCAGCCTCAGGGCCCTCCCACTTCTTACATAGGGGCCACGTCCTGGTGAACAGCTCGGCATCCACTGCATGGCCTTTATGCCCTGGCCTGAGGAGATACACTGTGACACATCCATTTTTGTCCTACTGGTCACAGCAACCCTAATCCTGCCCACAGGGGAGAAGACTGAGACCCCAGGTTTCAATGGGAAGAGCACGGCATAATTTTCAACTGTGCTTTAAAAGTTTCACAGTATCTGACTTTTCCAGATGCTTAATTTCTATACTTTTTTAGAAGAGAATTATGTGTTTTTTTTGTTGTTCTGTCTTTTTTTTTTTTTGGTGAGGAAACTCATAGCATCAAAGTAAATGCTTAAAATATCCAGATTAATAATAAAACCAGTGATCTCCACATAAATGGATTTTGTAATTAAGATGTGTATGTTTGGGGCAGGGGGGTTAGTGGCATGATTTTTGATATTTGTAGAAATACACTTTTAGAGTTTTGCAATTGCAAGAATTATTTATAGCTAGTTTCAAAGATAATTACCTGGGTGGTAATAGTTTAGCTTTACTGACCTGTAAAGTCAGATGTTAAACCACCTTTTTCTTTGTATTGACCTGCAGCCCTAGGAAATATCTGACAGCCTTAGGGGCTACTCATGAAATATCACAGATGCAGAAGTGCAGAGTAGTTTTAGTAGAGAGAGAAGCACTAATGTGTATCACAGGGAGCAGATTGTGACTTGAACATCATCTTATTTAAAATCTTTATAACAACATTATGAAAAGGCATCCACAATTCACTGCTAGACAAGAGTAGTCGAGTCTCTCACGGATCCGGATTTGGAGTCATGTGTTTCTTACCCTCCTGCCCCACGGCATGGAATCACAGTGAAAGAATAGGAAATATTTCCTTTTTTTCTTTTCAAACTCTATGTTTTCTCCAGCGTGTCATATGTACAAACCGTCTACGCACTTATTCCTACCGACTTCCTCACTAACGTCCACCCACTGAGGCTTGGAAGACGGTGGGTGGGTGGACGCTATCTCATGATGGAGACCAGGGCCAGGCTGAGTCAGGAGGTGCAGAGTGAACTCGGACACAGGCTCTGGGAGCCTCCCTCCCAGCCCCAGAACCTGAGTGCAGAGGGGCTACATCAAAAGTGGCCCCAAAGGGCAGACTCCCCAGCAGGTTTCCACTGGGAGCGTGATGGGCCCGTTAAACTCTGGACCACTTTTGTGCTTGTAAATTTGAAAAGTTCCCGGATACGGAAGCTTTGGGGTTGAGAGTGAGATTCAGGTCTGGGAGAGGGGAGTTGTGGGGCAGGGGAGGAAGCAGAGACACTGGCTTTGTCTGCGTTGTTTGGATGTTTTCGAGGAGGAAATGTTTACGCATTTCCATATTAATTATGCAACAGAAACAGTAAATCGCCATGGTAAACTTGTCGTATTAAAAGCTAGAATGACTAGGTACAAAGAGAGAAACTGATTTAACCAGAAGAGTGCCCAAAGACAGTAAAAACTTCTCAAATTCTGCCTAATATTTATAAGCAGAAGATAGCCTTTTGTCGCCTTATTTTATGTGTTTACATTGTTCACTGTCATAGTGTTTACATATAGAACCATATTCTCCTAAGGAAGAAAAAGCCAGAATGTAATAGACATTTATGTTTTTCTGCTTAAAGTAAAACTTGGATGAAGAAGGAACTTTAAAAATAATCCAACCCGGGCTTCCCTGGTGGCGCAGTGGTTGAGAGTCCGCCTGCCGATGCAGGGGACGCGGGTTCGTGCCCCAGTCCGGGAAGATCCCACATGCTGCGGAGCGGCTGGGCCCGTGAGCCATGGCCGCTGAGCCTGCGCGTCCGGAGCCTGTTGCTCGGCAACGGGAGAGGTCACAACAGTGAGAGGCCCGCGAACCGCAAAAAAAAATAATAATAATAATCCAACCCTGCATTTTTTAGGTGAGGAAAGAGTACAAGGGAGATTTGGAGATGTAGAGAAAGTCAGACTACCAGATGCAGAGAAGAAACCAGTGGTCCCAGAGGGAAGGGGGTGGTGGGAGTGAGGGTTAGATGTACAGACAACTGTGTGTGAAATAAGTAAGTTACGAGGATGTCATGGACCGCACGGCAAGTACAGTTATTTTATGACAACTCTGCGGGGAGTGTAATCTATAAAATATTGAATAACTGTGTTGTGCGCCTGAAACTAATATAGTATTGTAGGTCAGAGTTCCAGCTATTAGCACAATTTTGGTTTCTCATACAAATTTCCTGATTCATGATGTAGGGCTTTTGTTTGAAAATTTTGCAGAATTCATGATTTGACATGTGATAAGCCAATGATTCTCAGAAGTTTCTAGAAGAGATCTGAAATTAGCTGTAAAACTAGGGAGATCTGGAGTCTTCTGGATTCTAAAGGACATCTAAGTCACTGAGTACTTGGCCTCTGTGTACAATACGCACATCTAATAAAACTTGTTTTAAATGGTCAGCTAAACATAGAACTGAAAGTAACGTGCATGGTATCTGACTGTCATTTAAAACATCCCCCCGTTAACCTGCTTTGTTGCAGCAGTAATTTAAAATCTGTACCTCCTCTGAGATCAGCCAGTATTTGGAGCTTCCAGAAGGTCCCACTTTAAAGCACTGTCTTAACTGCTCTCCAGATCATTGATAACTTTCAGGGTGCCTCAGCGTTTACCTCAGCCTATACTGATGCGGCAGGGAGGGCTCTCTGGTTTTCCTCGGGTCCAGATGTTTTCGACTGAAGTGTGTGTAGTCACTGTGACGCAGGCGTCAGCAATGCCAGCTTTCCTCTTCCTCCGTCATTTTCTGCTTAAATATTACAATTCTCTTTCTGCACTCGGTCATTTGAGTAGTGAGGTGGTAGTGTTTGGCACAAAGGCCTTTTAAAGCAAAACACCTAAAAACCTGCCCTCTGCATCCTGAGCACTGGCTTCTTGGCCCCCTCTGACCGTGCTGGGAAACAACTTCTGGGCGCCGGAAGTCAGGTCTCTCTCACCGACGGACAGAGCAGGTTCACGTCAACAGTCCACGGGCACTTTGGTCACCATGGTGACTGTGGTCCCTTCGTGGGGGGGCTTCGATTCAGACGCGGAGGACAGTTGAGATAAAGGATGCTCTGTGCGAGCAGCGTTAAGAGGCGGGGCTGAGGAGGTGGCGAGGAGAGGGGGAATGGGTTGCAGGCTTGGAGGAAGGAGCGGGTGAGGGCAGAGCCAGGAGCCCGGTGGTTTCGACAGGCAGGCAGCCGGCGCTGACTAGCGGCAGTGTTCACCCATGACCGGAACGTTGCGTCGCTCTTGCTTTCAGATGCGCATTGGACTGCATTCTGGGTCGGTTTTTGCCGGAGTTGTCGGAGTTAAGATGCCCCGTTACTGCCTTTTTGGAAATAATGTCACCTTGGCTAACAAGTTCGAGTCCTGCAGTGTCCCCCGGAAAATCAACGTCAGCCCTACCACCTACAGGTATGGATCCCGTTCAGTGCCTGAAGTCTATTCTTTTCATTCATACGCAGTCGACATTTTTGTCTATTGGTTTGTTTCATTCTTCATAACTTGTTCTTGCTTAGATCATCTTAAAGGAAAAGAAAAGCCATAACTTGTATCATCCTCACTTTAACTTTTTTTTTTTAAACTGTGCGTTAGCCTCATGAGAACTTTGATCTCCAGCCCGACCCATGATTCTCCACTGAGCTAGACTCGTACGTTCTGACCTGTATTTCTGCTCGGGTGACTAACTGGCCCATTACAGCCAACGTGATCCTATTAGAACAGCTGATCCCCCCCCCACCCCGCCACGAAGACACCCACTTCCCACCGGCCAAGCTCCATCCGTCTCCTGACTGGGTGGTAGAGGGCCTCCGTGCACCTGGTTCCTGGGACCAGCACCCTGGCATGCCCTCACCTTCCCCGTGCGTGCCTCGCCCCCGCTGCAGATTAGTGTGCTGCGCACAGCCCTCCCCCACCCCCGTGCCGCTGCACGCAGCGCTATTCACACCCAGGCTCCCCTCCACGTGGTACCCATGTTCTCTTCATGAAGCACGGGCCAGATCCGTCCCCCACCCCCCGCCTTATAAGCCAGAACAAAATTAAACGTGCAACCACGGACTCACGTGTTCCCTCTGACCAGAGTCCCGCCAGACCCTACCACCAAGGTTTCTTCCACTCCCTCCTTATTTCACGGATCTCCTTCAACCCGGCCTCGTTTCTTTGCATCACGCTCGCCAAACCGATTCCTGAATGGAGGATGCTTGCTTTGCGTTTCTCTCCCGGGTCATCCCCTGCTTTCCTCCTTCGCACATTAGACCTTAAGTCAGAGGCCTTGTCTTCACACACACGTTCCTCACCCGCCCTGGACACACCCTCAGGTGCTCATCTCAGCTCATCCTGTGTTTCTTAAGTTCAGGACAAGCGGAGATGGTATGAGAAGTTATACAAATATGAAAGGTAATTATTTCTTTGCAGAGCTTTATTGATAGTACATTGAATTCAGGGATGGCGTTTCCCAATACAGTAATATTAGGAAGTGTTAACTTCCTTGATATATTTGTGAAACACATGTAACTTTAGGACACAGGCTGCGTACCCACAACCAAAAATATCCATTTCCTTCAAACGTCCACTTCCAAATTCTGATCAGTAATTTAGAATGTAACGGCAATTAGACATTCCTTTCTTTTAAATGTTGTGAGGAGTTTTCTTCTAGGGGACAGTTTCCCGCATTTTTGTTTGTTTTTACTGAAGTGCAGAGAACGCACAGACACTAGGTTCAATATCGTTTGAGTTTGGGGTCAGTGGATCAAAGGGAGGGTTGCGTGCAGTGATGCAGGATCATTAAAGACGAAACTGGCAGGTGCCCCGTGCGGGCGGGAAAGTTGACCAGTGACACAGAAGCAGGACTTGAATTCCACCAGGGAACAAGGAGAATAAGGGATTATGGGACGATGACCGAATTAGGAGAGTTGATGCAGCCACTTGCAGGAAACCGTGTCCGGTCAGGAGGGATAAAGAAAACCTCCCTCCACACGTGAGCATCTGCCCTGGGACTGTGGCTACTATTCTTGGATCTTACGCAAGCTTTCTTCTAAATGGTTTTATTTTTCCAACCTGTTTTTCTTACAAATTTGGATCTTTTTAAAAAGATGATTTAATGAACAAAAAATCTGTAAGTCTCTTTAAAAGAGACAGGGATTTGTAGGCAGAAGACATGTCCTACAGCACAGGGCTTACCAGATGTGTGATCTGGAGCGAGGCTCTTCATACATTCAAATGATTTGCTTTAAAGCCACTTCTGAATGCTCCAGATAGAAGAATAAAACCAGAGGAAAATAGATGCCACCCATACCCTTTTACACCTTGCCTTGAATCCACTCAATACTATGTTTTTGAGATTTTTTTCTTGATGAAATATAAATCCAGTTCATAAAAAATCTGGTTCATTTATTTACAGTATTCCTAATGCAGTGGTGTGCTGGTAAACCAGCCTGCGGAGTGAAATGGATACTCCCTGACTTCTAGCATTTACCAGTTTTTAAGGTGTAAATACTATACCACCGTGGCAGGTTTCAGGCTACTGATGGTTTAACTGGCTTGCAGAATTCCAGAGTGTTTAACAGCTGTTTCTCACAAGCTGGTACGAGATAAATCTAGCATGTCCCCATATGTGCATGTGACATAATATGCATTCTAGAGTATAAATAAGCCAGTCTGTCTTCTCTCCATGGGTAATTAGAGGATTGCCAGTTTTTCATTATTATACAACGTGATTTGATAAATATTCTTATACATATGTGTCTAGATAATATACCTACGAACGGTATTCCCAGATCGTGGGCTATACCCAGTTTCGGCTTTACTAAGCATCAATTAGCTGTCCAGATTGGTTTCACCCATCTATTGGTATATATTGGTAATATGTACCAATAGAATCCACGGTGTCTGAAGGTTTCTATTTCCCAGTGACTGATATTATCAGACTGATTGTTACCAATATGATGGGTGTTATGTGATATCTAATTGATGCTTAATTAATCTTGTTCAATTTATTTAATCTTCACAACTGTCTTAAGAGACATGTATTATTTTAATCCCCATTTGAAAGGCTAGAAATCTGACATCTTTGCTGTTATTCAAACCTACATCTACCAGACTTTGAAGCTTATACTTTCAATTGTGTGGAATTCTGTAATTTTTCATTATATATTACCAAATACCATGCCTTAAAAATAATAGGTACTCAAAATATTTACAAATCCATGACTAAAACATCATTTCATTAGTCTTATGATTTTTCAGACTACATATTTATTGGTGCACTGATAAAAATTAGTTGATTGAACACTCCCATGTATTCTACTTGAGGTCTGTGATCCTCGAGACCTGCACCTCTGTCCAGCGGTTTCCTCAGCACACAGAGGGGCGTCAGGGTCCGGGAGTCTCATGCAGCATCGTCACTCTTTTCATTGCAGACTGGGGAGTGGAAGGGGAGATACGAGGAGAGATTTTCTGCAGAAGCTGGTTTAGAGCCTGTTTCCATCCACGGCCTGAATAATAGATCAGAGAGATGCTTATTAAGTTTGCATTTGACAGAAAGCTAGGGAAGCAAGTGGGAAGAGGAGACAGTAACTTAATCAAAATGATTAGAGTTTCAAATGAGTTTATCATCATGGACAAATGCAGCAAATAATAAAAGCCTGTAGAACATCTGAATTTAAGGTGAAATTTAATTCTTAAGAATTTAAGAAGAAAATATATTGCAAGTATCAGATAGTAAGTAGAGTGTCGATATATACAACTAAATCTCACTTTAGTCCTACTAACCTAGAATTCATAAAAATTCTATTGAGAGATCCCAGAGTTGCTGTCACATTTTATATATAGATATATATCTTATATAGAATTTTCTTTCACAAGTTCTTGCCCGAGCTTACTTCTCAGTAATATTTAGAAAATGAATGAATTGACAAGCATTGTCTTATCTCTTTGAAGTCTTCCAGTTCTGTAACATTATTTTCATGTATTTTTTGCTATTATTAGACTTCTTGCATTGTTTTGGGTTTTTTTCCCCACTGCTGTGAATTGCACTGTTCTATAGATTATAGATGATACCTTTACAAGACTATTTTATAGTTATCTTTCCTGATATGAGTGAACTACATTATTTGGTAGGGCTTTCTGTTATTGTGCATTGATTCCTTGCCGTTCTTCTGTAAAGATGCACATCATTAGGATTTTTCCTGTCAGTGACACTGAAGATGGCTGGTTTATTAATATTCTCAGGAATGTTCCTTTAGTTATGTCACCTTTTCTTGACTAGACAGTTACGTCAGTCTTAAGTTCTATGATTAATATTTGCGTTTCAATATTTCCAGATTACTCAAAGACTGTCCTGGTTTTGTGTTTACACCTCGATCAAGGGAGGAACTCCCACCAAACTTTCCTAGTGACATTCCTGGAATCTGTCATTTTCTGGAAGCTTATCAACAAGGAACAACTTCAAAGCCATGGTTCCAGAAGAAAGATGTTGAGGAAGCCAATGCCAATTTTTTAGGCAAAGCGTCGGGAATAGATTAGCCAAATACACAGCCAATTGTTAGTCTCTGGGTTTGAGTCCTTGGAGCGTGTGTGGGCCTTCTGAGAGCACACTGGGATGGCAGCGAGCTCAGCAGCGGTGGTAACATTTTGGGAGCTAAGTCACCATCTGCTTTTCCTTCCACTTAACATGACAAAAATGTATTCACCTCAATATTCAACTCTTCAGTGAAAAAGAAAGAAAGAAAGAGAGAGAGAGAGGAGAGAGAAAGAAAGAAGCCTCAAAAAGTGACTTTGGGGGAATATTTCTGATATATAAGAATAGCTTATAACCTGTACTCAGAGCTCAGCGCCTTATTCATATATCGGGCGATTGTAGTGACCTGTACAGCCTGGTGGAGTCACCTGCCTTCTACCCTGGCCAAACACCCTGGTTATCAAAGCGCTTCTCATAGTGTTGGTTGCCTTAACAACGCTTTTTGAATAGAAACCATAGTCTCTGATACCCTAAGCTCTTTGAACCTTTCAAGTCTGCATTTTGTTACATTTCCTCATTTAACTGTTAGCATACATAACAAAACAGATTGAGGCTTTCTTCTGTTGCACTTTTTTCTTTTTCTTTTTTTTAGAGAAAATAAGCCATTATGGGTTAGATGCAATATGAATCTAAAGTAGTTCTTCTGTAAATATCAAAGATGATTTTATAAAAATATTCTCCACAACATAATGTGTCGTAACAATAAATATTTCCTTTTCTGACATTTTAAAAAGTCTGTATATGGGAAAGGCTATTTTAATTCATAAGAGAAATTTCATTTCTATTAATTCATTTTTGTGTCATAATCTTCAGGATAAAAGAGGGTTACAGCCTACATTAAAATGCAATAATATTATTCTAATTTACTTTACCCAGAAGCAACATGGAGTAAAGGCAGCATTCAGGGAATGAATCATAACGTACAGAAGTAAAACATTTACACACACAGCAGTAATTTGGACCTGTTTCAGCAGACACCCTCCATTGCCAGGCTGAGCCATATAAAGTTCCATTAGGAAAATCTTAAGTTCAGAAGTGGGAAATAAGACTTGTTCTTTTTGCTGATAGCTTACTTTTTAAGTGTTTGTGTTCAACACTTTGGTGTGTATATATGTCCTTGGAACCATCAGGACTCTTTGTCTTAAGTACACATCTGTGAATTTTTTATTCTAGCGAAATTAATTCAATGATATTTTTAAAGAGGATGTTAATATTGATGAAGAAAATTATGCTGTGATTTCATTGTAGAAATTTCAAAACATTTTTCTGGAAAATGAACTTTTAATAATGTTAGTCTAAGATCTCTGGTGAACTAAGTAACATGCAGAGTTTGGTTGGAGATAAGGATCTGATTTTAAAAAGAACGCAACTTCAAAGCAAGAGAAAGCTGAACATTACAGTGTTTAAATCAGTATTAGCAGAGCTATAGATACACTGAACTCTTATTTGGGGATCTGAGGGGTAAGTCAGCTGGAATTTTTAACAGTTCTCTCCACTAGTCCCCAGGCCAGTCCATGGTGACCTCGGGAATAAAGGCCATTACTGGCTGGCCTTTAGCATCCCTGGCGTATTACTATCCATATCACAATAATTATTATTTACTCAGTGATGCTCCAGTGTCTCGAGGTACTGAATAGGGCTCATTAAATACAAATCCTATTATTGGAGAGTATCACAGGCCTCGGGAAAATATAGTCTCACAATTATATGAAGTTAATAAAAGTATTTAAAAGGAAAGTAAAGACTTAAATACATATTTGTTTCTGGAAATGAGCCCTTATTACAGGGAAAATATTAGGAATTAAGGGAAATTAAAAAACATAAAATAATGTGTCTTATTTATCACCTATTTAAGCAGACCCAAATTTGCTAATAATTTATGTTCCAAAAGTTGTAAATTCATTAGAATTCAAAAAATATTTTCTGTGTGTGTGTGTGTGCGTGTAAACACACACGCACACACACACACACACAGAACCAATGGGGGAAAATGTGAACAGTCTGAATAAAAGCTCCATGGGAATTCCTTGTACTATTCCTGCAACCTTTCCATAAGTTTGATATTTTATCCAAATAAAAAGTTACCAAAAATGTATTTTCTCGAAAACATTAAGTGATCTGTGATAGATTCCCCAGGCCAGCCTGCAAAGGCTCGCGTTAACTATGGGATACCTCAGAGCCCTTAAGCAAGATGGACATACAACATCTCCGTGATGGAATGCACTCAAAATCTCCAACTTGGATGCTGAAAACTTTAAGGAATCTCTTTTCCATCTCTGTCTGATCCACTTTGGAGGGTGGAGGTGAGGGAGACGTATTCATGGCCAGACCACTGAGGGTAGGCAGGGACGGAGCCCGAGGGTATGTTCGCAAGGAAAGTGAGGGACCCGGACGTGGGGTTAAGGATGCAGAAAAGGATGGACGCAGAGGGTCTCTGACAGGGTTGGGAGCCAAGGGTTCCGAATCTTACTGCCAAGTGAACTGTCCTAAAATGTATATAATGTGGGTCCCAAGACACCGGTTCCTCCTAAGAACGCCAGGAGCTGCTCTTCAGATTCTGTTGTTTCCATGACTTCTTGGGTGGGAAGGGCTGTTGCAGCGTTTTACTGGCCTGTCCTCCAAATCCCTCCTCCCTGACGTTGCCAGTCCCTCCGGGGCGGGTACGGTGAGGCACAGAGCAGGCTGCTTGGCCCGGGGCTGGGGCCGGGGGTGGGAGTGGGGGGGGGGGTGGGGGGGGGGGGCTAGCAAGGGAAGGAGGAGTGAGGTGGGGAGTGGCTGGGGGCAGACTCGCCCTCGCCCCGCGAGAGCCACCTGCAAAGCCCCAGCGATGCCTAAGGCTGCGTGAGGCTGGAAAGCCACGCTCAATGAGCCACTGGATGCTTGTGGCTGTAAATGGTGGGCCTTACCTGGATACGTCGTCATTCCTCAGTGGAAGGGACACGGCTATTCCCCGAACCACAGGGGAAAAAGAGCTGTCGTGCCTGCTGGTGGGCTTGGGTGCGTTTCCCCAAGGAGCCGGCTGCGTGGGAACAAGTGAAGTCCGGTTTGCAGGGTGAAGGATGCGGTGTGACACACGTGACACACGGGCGGGGGGAGGGCGGTCCGGAGGGGCTTGGGCCAGAGGGGTTGCAAAGCCTGTAATGGAGGACGTAACACGTCCTGCAAAACCAAACCTCAGGTTGCTGCAGAGACGATAGGAAAGTGCGATCCCCTTGTCCAAACAGGCTAAAAGCAGGGACAGCTTGCCTTACTCAGCAGAGCACACCAAGAGGGAAATGTAAACCAGAGTTTACAGTGTTGCGACCTACATTCTCTGCTGGAATTCTTCCTCAAATCCTGGGAAATCTGTGTTCTCTTGTGAGAAGGGGAAGAATAATCCTCCCACCGTGGGAGGCGAGAACTTCTGGAAGGAATTAGCCCTCTGCGGTCCTGGCTGCCATTCAGTTTCCTTTTGCTCTTTGCCTGTTTGCTTCCAGACTGCAGAAGTGTGGCTCCTTTTAAATGCTGCTTTTATGTTGTTGGTGACGTGTACTCACTTGGTGTTCGTACTTTAAGCCACCTGCAACGTTTTACACTTTATTGCCACCTGTATTTCTCCTGAAGCAGCCTTGCCCTTGACCTGTCACACCTGCATCTGTTTTGACCAACTCACACAATCCACACACTTTTACCTCTAAAACTGTTCTTCCTGTATTCAGTGCCTGCAAAACCAAAATAGCATAGGTTTCATAAACGCATAGCTTTCAAATTTTAAAAACTAAGCTAAAGGGGAAAAAATGTGACATTCTAAACGCTAGGCTTCTTTTACTATCAGTGCAAATTCATTTTCATCGTAATAAACTTAGTTTCAGGAAAATGTTAATAACTAAGATTTAAACACAGGGATCGAAATCAGGACAAAATTTAATTTGCAGATCTAGGACTTAAGCTCAGATATTTTGGTAGCATATTTTCGATAAGGTTGTGCTGCCTTTCAATTTTTTTAAGTATTTAACGTTGAGACATTCTGCCATTTGCAACAATGTGGATGGATCTGGAGGGTATCAGGCTTAGTGAAATAAGTCAGACAGAGAAAGACCAATTCTGTGTGCTATCACGTACACGCAGGATCTAAAAACTAAAACAAACATGTATATAACAAAAAAATTTTTAAATTGCAACTAAACCTTACAGATCGTGAAGATGATCACTTGGCAGAAAATGAGTTTGCATAATGCCCAAATCTTATAAAGTATCAGCTAAGATGTTTGTTTAGTCTGAAAGGTTGCCAAACCCATCTGTATTGAGGGAAGAGCTATGAGGTCATCTCAGGGAAAATTAAAGCAAAACAAAATGCTGTTACAGAAGTTGGACAATCCATCGTATTACACGTCCGGAATAAAAAGGTAAAGCTGAAGCCTTTTGGAAAGTTACAGTGACAATGCCCACAGAATTCTGTGCCTTTGGAAACAATGATGGCCCACGAGGCGGCATCCAGGGCTGTTCAATCGCAGTGAGCTGCTTTCTTCCCCAGATAAATTGTATGTCGGAAAATTGAAGTGGATAAAAACGTTTTAGTCTTTGAGAAGGTACTGTTCCTTCACCTCCTCCCACATGTAAATTAAAGATGCCCTGCAAGATCTTATGACACAGCTTGATAGTTAGTAATCTAGAGCAGTGTTCTCCAGACTTTTGGATTCTGCACACCATTAGTAAAATCTTTAGAACGCTGACAATCTATTATAAGTATATAAAAATAAATTTTATCATATAAGTATTATTAATATTTATGATTCATAAATACATAATATGCTGCTCTCAGTCTGAAATAATATAGTAATAAGCTTATTTTTAAGCAAGCATGAATATAAATAGAAATTCTAGTACTTTCTTCACTTACCCCAGTGAATATATTTTACTCTAGAAACTGTTACAACAGGCCAGTGGGTCTCCACGTTCACTGAGTCACAAATCACTTGGAGAACTGGATAAAAGATAAAAGATATAGGCCATCACCCTTCTAAAAATGTGCATATGCCCTTACACCCCAAGACTGATGTGTATTTCCAGAGGTTTGGGGATTCCCTGGAATGTACTCCTAGGCCACTGCAGGGA